GTGGCACTAGGGATTCGAACTGCCAACTTTTCTGATCGAGAAGCTCAGCGTCTTAGCCACTGAGCCACTGCCTCCCTTGCAAGGAAAGAAATTAAGAGAGACATCAAACAGGCACTCTGGGCCCCGTGAATGCCGTTCGAGACCCTTTCTTGTTTACCGAATAATCGAGCAAAACCAGGGCTTAAAGAAAGAACAAAGCCAGCAAGAGGCATCAAGTACAGATTCTAAAGATTTTTTTTTATTTCTTACAAAAAAAAAAAGAACCAAAAATTCAAAACCCACAACCTTTGGTATCTTAAAATAATCACAATCAGGGTTTTTTTTTTTTTTTGCAAATCACCAGAAAAATCTTGTTCAGTCTCTCTAGAATTTAAAAGAAAGAAAGAAAGAAAAAAAAACAGGTCACGGCAACAAACTTGGGGAAAGTCTAAATCAACAGCCTCTCCCCCCCCAACCCCTCCCCCAATAAAAATTCACTAAAGTTGCTGTTAAGTTATACGCCGTCTTCAGAGAAAAGATGTGAGAACTCAAGTGTTAAGATGAAAAGTCACAATGAAAGCACAGGTACATTCTAAGTTGGCTGTTCTTCGGCCCGAAACGGTGAACAGAATGCCTGAAAACCCGCCAACAATAAGTTAAGAAATGAGACGAACGCTCAGTTTAAGGGTTGGGAGGGGGAGAGAAATCCCCCCCCCACATCTTTTAAACCAAAGTTAAGCAAGAACATTCAAACCCAAGGAGCCTGCGCTGATTAAAGGCCTCCCTTATCGCTTAACATCAACATTAAAAAAATCCTTAATGCACATTTCTTTTTCAAGTATTTTTCAACAAAGAACAAAATGTTAAGGAAAGCCAATGGAACTAAGACGCGATAGAGAGGGGGGGGGAGTCTTTGGGGGTCATGGGGGGGGTAGAGACATAGCCAGGACACCCAGGGTTGTCACCGCCAATGGTTGTGCTCCATTTGCACCTCCTGTGCAGGAAGAGGCACACACATACACACAAAGGATGTTGTTTTATAGGGATTTCTTGGATCAAAGACCCAAGGTGGGATCTGAGTCATTTATTGGCTCAAAAAGCAACTGATTCTTGGGACCCCCAAGGTGTTTTTTTTTTGGGGGGGGACTGTTCCATCTTCTTCTTGTTTTTGCTAGGCTGCTCTTTGAAAAATGCACCTGCAAACAGACAAACACACACATTCATTCCGCAGGCATCATCTCTTTTTAACTGCTTTGAACGATGAAAGCAAATTGCTCACCGATTTCCACAGAAAGTTTTGGAATACAAAGGGAGGGAGAGGGGGGGGGGAGTATCTTAAGGGTATCCGCGGTGCTTATTTCCAATAATTCCCTGCTGGGGTTATTGATATTGGCAAGGAGGGGAAGGTTTCAAGAGGGGTTGTGTAGCCTTTCAGTCCATCTTTTTTTTTAAAAAAAAATTTCTGAATAACTGAATAGGCAGCAGCCAAAGTTGAGGGAAAAAGCCAAAGGGGACCAGAAAAAAAAGAGATTCCAGTAAATATGCACATATTATGCCAGGTGGCTCTGTCCCTCTGCCTTCCCATGCTGTTCTGTTCTCTTGGTTTCTGCCACTTTTAGCACACAGCCGCTCCAACTGACTCCCTGCCTTGTTTTTAAACGGGTTTTTCAGGTCAGAGGAGAGGCAGTTCCACGCCTGACCGAAGGCCCAGGATTCTGCCCCTGTGTCAATTCCAGTTGTGCTGGGTAATCCTGGCGCTTCCCTGTCTCTGCTCTTCAGCTGAATAGCTAAGGAGAGAGAGAGAGACAGTGGGGGGGGGGCTAGAGAGAGACGGAGACATAGAGAGAGAGAGAAAGAAAGAGACAGAAACACACACACACAAAGAGAGAGAGAGAGATGGAGACAGAGAGAGAGGAAGAAAGAGAGACACAGAGAGAGAGAGAGAGAGAGACAGAGACAGAGAGAAAGAGAGATGGAGAAAGATGGAAAGAAACAGACAGAGACATAGAGAGAGACATAGAGAAAGAGAGAGATGGAGAGACAGAGGCATATATATACAGAGAGAAAGAGAGACAGACACAAAGAGAGAAAGAGATGGAGAGACAGAGACAGAGATGGACACACACACACACACACACACACAGAGATGGACACAGAGAGACAGACAGACAGACACAGAGAAACAGAGACACACAGAGAGATGCAAGCTAAGAACGTCTGATTTTTACTCCGCATAAAGCTACACTTTGTGGGTACAGTCAGATCACGCGTGACAAGCTTCCCCACCCCCCAAAAAAGCATCCCCCCCCTACTCCTTCATTTCAGGGTTACTCGTAAACAGTGAGGCCCCTGCTTAACCCTTGGAGTGTCAGCCCCGGCACCCCTACGCCAGCTTCCCCATCAATCACACTGCCCATCAACCCTTTTTTTTCCAAACAGCACCCCAACACAACACCCCTGCATCCTTTTGGTAGAAGAACTTTTACTTTTCACTGGCCCTTTTATCAGCCTCCCCCCCCTCCTCCTCGAGAGCTTATCTTCCAAAAAGGCAAACGACTAAGTAGACTGGTGCACAGGTGTGCAAACACACACACACACAGCACAAAGGCTGGCTTCTTCCAAAGATGTCCTCGGCTCCTACAGATGTGCCCTGCTTCCAGGGCTGATGTCAGAGAGAAGAAGCTGACACACACACACACACACAAACACACCCCGAGGAAGCCGGGACCCTGCTTTGGCTGTCAAGCCGAGCCTTAGACCTTGCTTCGGAAGAGAGGCTTGGCCCCGGGGCCGCAGTACTCGTTGTAAATGAGCTTGAAGAGGAAGAGGTGGAAGAGGGTGATGAGGGAGGCCACGCTGAACCAGAAGAGGAAGGGGAGGCCCGGGTAGCGCTTGGCCATGTGCTCTTCGTGGGCCAGGATGGCCTTGAGGTGGAGGGTGTGGCGCAGGTCCTGAAGGTGTACCAGGTCGGTGGAGATGTACAGCAGCGGCGTGATGGGCTGCGTCACCATGACGGGGAAGGTGTGGCCGTGCACCTGGGAGGTCAGCTCCACGGGATCGTTGGAGCAACCGCCCTCGCAGGCGTACAGCTTCACTGGCTTGTCCTGGAACTTGACCGAGACGTGGAGGAAGGGCTTCCCGTCGGCGTCCAGCAACACGGCCAGGTTGATCAGGTCCTTGTTGTAATGGATCCCCCGCAGAGAGTAGCTGTTCTGGAGGACCTCGGGGTCCGACTGGAACTGCAGGTGGTTCTCGGTGAACTGCAGCCCGCCAAAGCTGAGCACCATCCCCTGCATGAGGCCGTGAGCCCCGGCCGCCACCAGGCCTTTGCAGCCGCGCTTCTGCAGCGTCAGCTTCCACAGGTTGGAGAGCTGCAAGACCTGCAGGACGGTGGACAGCTGCCCGGGCCACAGGTTCTCGGCGTGCATGGTGGCGTGGCCGCTGAAGCAGTGGTCGGCGTAGTTCAAAGTGGCTTCCATTTTCTCCTCCTCCTCGGGGCTGATGTGGGGGTCCAGGAGGGGAGCCGGGGTGGTGGACAGGACGAAGTAGAGCGTCAGGTTGACGGTGTCGCTGGAGGGGGTGTGAGCGTCGGTAATCTTGCGCATTTCCACACCTGAAAAGGCAAAAAGATTGCTCAGTGCTTTTAAGAGCTCTGTCCTCCCCCGGGAATAAAGAAGCCTTGGAGAATAAGATAATAAGTCTTGGGCTAAAGCAGTGTTTCTCAACCTTGACGACTTTAAGTCCCGTGGACTTCAACTCCCAGAATCCCCCAGCCAGCACAGCTGGCTGGGGGATTCTGGAAGTTGAAGTCCACGGGACTTAAAGTCACCAAGGTTGAGAAACACTGGGCTAAAGGTAAAGATTCCCCTCACACATCTGTGCTAGTTGTTCCCGACTCTAGGGGGCATAGCTCATCTCCGTTTCAAAGCCGAAGAGCCAGCGCTGTCCGAAGACATCTCCGTGGCCATGTGGCCGGCATGACTCAACGCCAAAGGCGTACAGAACGCTGTGACCTTCTCACCAAAGGTGGTCCCTATTATTCTACTTGCATTTTTTACCTGCTTTCAAACTGCTAGGTTGGCAGAAGCTGGGAGCTTACTCCGTTATGCAGTGCTAGAGATTAGAACCACCAAACTGCCAATCTTTCTGATTGATAAGCATCTTGGCCACTGAGTCCCATTAAGTTTTGGATAATACGATAATAAAAGGTCCACCATTAAATTCTCACACTAGTTACCTAGCAAGGACTTTCCCTACCTTCTCCAAGGAGTGAGAAACCTTCCCATGACCTGTACCAGTTAGGTCCTCGCCTTACAACAAATTTGTTTAGCGGCCGTTCAGAGTTAAGAACGGCGCTGAAAAAAAGTGAAATGTGGCCATTTTCCACCTTCAAGATGATTGCAGCCTTCCTGTGGGTCCCTTGATCAAACGGAAGGTCCTTGGGAACTGGCTCATGTTTATGACGGTTGCAGGGTCCCGTGTGTGTGTGTGTGTGTGTGTGTGTGTGTGTTGGGGAAGGTGTCACACGATCTCCTTTGGCGACCTCCGGATAAGCGAAGTCAAAAGCCAGATTCACTTAACGACATGTGTTGCCAACTTAATCGCTGCAGTGATTCACTTAACAGTCATGGCAAGAAAGGGTGTCAAACAGGGCAAAACTCACTTAACAACTATCTCACTGAGGAGCAGAAATTGTAGCTCAGTTGTACATGTCAACCGAAGGCTACTCCTTGCTTGCTCAGGCCTTTACAACCATCATCGTATTTTTCCATGAGTAATTCCGGTTATAAAATAGTCTGTCCCAATATTCTACATTCTGGCCCTGGAGAGGCAGGCCTTCCGGGTGGATAAAAATAGATGATTTTTTAAAAAACAATAATTTTAAAGATAAGTTTTCTATTTAAGATACATTAATCATTTCATTTATTCAGCATGAAATGGAGCTTCGTTATGCAGCATGAGGCTGTATATCAGTGGTCACCAACCAGTGGTTCCTGAGAAAATTTTGCAGAAAAACTATCTGTATTTTCGTATTGCATTATTTTACCTTTTTTTAAAAATTCAGATTGGTGGTCCGTGGGATTTAAAATTATGAATTTAGTGGTCCCTGCGGTCCAAATGGTTGGTGACCCCTGCAAGGTTTAAATTTTTGGTAAACTCATTCCATGGACTGGAATGAAAGGCCTGCAAGCTGAGATGACACGCCCTGCATTGAGGCATTCGTACAATTTCACTGCAGGGATGGCAGTTTTTGCTCTTTAAAAATTATGATTTGGATCGAGTTGATTTAAATCAAGCTTTTTTTTTTTACTAGTGATTTAAACCGTGATTTAAATCAATTTGATTTAAATCAAATCCACCCTTCAGGCCTTTTGAATTCATCCTGACTTCCTGAAGATGTTCCTCCAGCCTGTGCCAATTTCCCAGGAACACAAACAGAAGACACCATCATCCAGACACAACTTGGAGGGAGAAAATGTCCAGATTTCTACCCCTCGGAAACAAAAATCTGTTTCCCACTGCTCCCACAACTGCTAAGGCACGCAGAGCTTGTGATTTTTGCAGAAAGAGAAGCAGTGTGGAATTAAGGAGAAATTTCGTTGACAATTAACCAGTGGAACAGCTTGCCACCAGAAGTTGTGGATGCTCCATCATTGGGGGTTTTTTAAAGAAGAGATTGGACAGTCACTTGTCTGGAATGGTATAGGGTCTCCTGCTTGAACAAGGGGTTGGACTAAAAGATCTCCAAGGTCCCTTCCAGCTCTAGGCTGATTAAGTAGCAATAGCAATAGCAGTTAGACTTATATACCGCTTCATAGGGCTTTCAGCCTTCTCTAAGCGGTTTACAGAGTCA